TTCCCCATAGTTCTCCTTAGGGTAACGGGAGGACACAAACTAGCCTCCTCCCGTCACCCTAAGCTCAGTATACCGCGAGCTACAGCTCGTGGTATACTGAGACGCCACAGTATACCGCGAGCTAATGCTCGCGGTATACCGAGACGCCTCAGATGAAGTGGATCCCGACAATTGTGTCTGGATCTGCCCAGCTGCGTGAGTGACAGCTGGTTCTGCCTATCAAGAGGCAGAGCCAGCTGTACCCTCCCCCTACCCATCCGCCAGTCAGCGCTGGCGGATCGGAGCGGGAGGAATCCAGCCCCTCCCCTGTAACGGCAGAGAGCTGTGACAGGATCGAGAGGTGAAGGAGCGCCGGTATGTGTTCGCTCACTTCTCGATCTACTGAGCCGACCTGTGACAGTCTCATTGTCACAGGTCGGCTAGAACTATGGAGGCGAGTGAAAAACACTCACCTCATAGTTCTCCTTTAAGCCACAATATTTAGGGTACAGAATGACAGCCGAAAGAGATTCTGGAAACAAGAGGTTCAGTATCTATCAAAGCCTTATACACATATTGAAATAGTTTTGAAGGCCACCTGCACTCCTTGCAGTCCCGCAACTACACAGTATTGGTGGTGATCAAAGCGAGTGCACGGATGGCGCCGTGCAAAAACTCAAAGTAATCACAGTGGTTCACCGGCACACAAAGAAAAGTTCCGATAAAGATTTTGTTTATATGTATATTTGTGAAATGTCACGTCATGTCATCAGTGTGATGACATGGTCATCTGTTTATGGGTTATATGTGTGTTATTGTTAGGGTATGTTTAAACTATGTTATACTGTGTAATCTGTTTATCAAAAGAATGTCAGCACCACTGCCCTGTTATCTCTCTTTGTACTCCATGGAGCTCAGGACTGACATTCTCCTGTGTCTGGCCAGACTCCTGCTATGGCTGTCTGGAGCTCTTTAGCAGCTGGACCCCCGCGGGTTTGTACAGCAGGGGCTGACTGGCAACTTTTAGCCCAGGGGGCAAGTACAACTCAGAGGCCCATGGTGCAGCAACTTGGCCCCCCTCCGGCCCCGCCTCCGTCTGCCACTTTCGCCATCCATGTAATGTTAGTGTGAATGGTCAGGTGATGCGAGTACTCCTAGTAAGTCCATGAAAGGGACTGGCTAGGGGATGATGCTCTCCTCCCACTGGGCTCCCTACATGGTTCTGGCCTTACTCCGCTCCATGCCCGGTACTTAGGCACTCCCACCCACTGTAGACCGCCGCTGGCTGTCCATGCTTCTGGGCTGTGAGGTGTGGGAGGATAGTGGGAGGGGCCGGACAGGGTCAAAGTCAGTGTTCTATAATTTTTCTCGATCCTGTACATTTTCTCGACTGTCACTTCCAGTGGGGCCGAGTCATCTGAATCAGCTGTTTTCGTGACCCCCTTTCTTCATGACATGTGCACCTAGAAGAGACGCGGTAGAGAAATTTATCGGTTGAGGAAAATTAAAGCACACAGGTAGTGTAGGGATGCCTCGTCAGTGCTGTGTGCGTGTACAACTGCTGCGACCCTGGTAGTTCTGCCACTAACTCCAAGCTGTAGAGGCACTACAAATCTCAGCACATTATACAACAATGTAGAATACCACCAGCTATAGAGGACTATAAATCTCAGAAATACATTGTACAGCATTGCAGAATGGCATCGGCTATAGAGAACTACAATTCCCAGCAATACCATTATTCAGCAATGCAGAATACCATCAGCTATATAAGACTATAAATCCCAACAATAATGACTACCAACAGCTATAGAGAATATTGTAATTGGGGAGTCATTGGGTAATAGTGATCACAATGTGATTACTTTTAATATTGAACACAGAAAAGGGAAGGGTACTGGAAGGACTAGAACCATAAACTTCAGAAGGGCCAACTTTGATAAGCTACGCTTATGTAACTACAACTCCCAGCAATACATATTACAGCAATGCAGTATAATATGAAGCTACATACTCTGTTGCTCTGGATTCGCCGCCCAAAGTCTCCAGAGTCTCAGGAGGGCTGTGTGAGCTCTCACCAGGGGTCCAGAGAGTTTCACCGGTGCGTGTGGGTGCAGCAGAGGCAGCTCCCTAATTAGGCTCTCAGGTGGCCAATGCGGTCAGTTGGTCAGCGCGGGCTCTCTGCTGGTTAGTGCGGGATCTGTGGTGGCTCTGTGGTAGCTCCCAGGTGGGTAGTGGGGGCTCCACTGTGGCCAGTGGAGGCTCACTGGTGGTTAGTGGGGGATCCCTGGTGTAGGGTGACCATTTATCTAGAGCTGCAGCTAACGATTATTTTCAAAATCGGTTAGCCGATTGAGTTCAATTAACCGGTTAATTGGGATAAAAAAAATGGCTCCAGTGATGGACTACTAGTTTGTTTGAGATTGTAGTCCATCACAGGAGCAAGCTTGGAGCGGTGGAAGAAAAAAAAAAATAGTGGTGTGCAATATAGTGAAAACTAAAGTGTAGTATTATACAGCAATCAATGCAGAATGGCACCGGCCATAGAGGACTACAAATCCCAGTAATACATTATACAGCGCCAGTTTCATTTTAAAAAATGTGTCACCTTACCCTGGTGGTCAGTGGGGGGGTCTGCTGTGGCCACAGCTGCAGTGCCTCCCTACGCCGCGGGGGCCTTCAGAGGTCAGCTTTGAGGAGCGAGCGGCCGCCGAATACAGAGCTGCATCTATAGCGGTGCATGTGGCAGAGGCGGTGGAGGGAGCCATTGCACCGGCGGCTTCTTTTAGCGGGGGCCAGTGAATGGCCCGATGGCGGCCGCGGGCAGGGGCCAATTTTAAAGTAGGTGTTTTTGGCGGGAAATCCATTGCACATGGTTTTCTATTGTTAACAAATGTGCACATGAAACATGAACTAGCAGCTGGAAACTGTGCACAGTGCTTCACATGCATGAGCACACACTCCTTTTCTATTGTCTATTCAGATGTATACATGTGTTTAATTGGCTATGTGATGTAGTTGTGTTGAGGAAGTGATGTTGGTTGTTGACATCACTTCCTGTATGATTCTTTTGTTGAGAGAGAATAAAAGCTGCTGTAGTCAGTAGACACGGGGCTCTTGGAACAGAATATCCAGCATGAAAGCATCACCTTTCCTTGACTCTGCATGAGTGTCGCCTTTCCTTGCACAAAAGAGCTTAATACAACTGTGCTTTTAAGCACGGGGGAAATTCTTTGTGTTTGGTGCACTTTGGCGCACTTTTAGTGCGGCATAGATTTGTGCGTTTAGCCCAAGCGAATTTCCATAACACTGGGGTCCGTCACAATCAGAAGGCAACGTTTCGGGATCTTGCCCGGGATGCTTCATCAGAGCGACATAGTGACGTCACTATGTCGTTCTGATGCAGGGTCCCAAAACATTAGCTTCTGACGACATGACGCTACAGTTCAAACATATCAACAACATCTTGGTATCAGAACGTTTGTCCCCGAGAACCACTGTGATTACACATATAAGACCATAAATTAGTTGAGCCGCTAGTTCCACATAGACAAGAGCCATGTTTAGTAACGTTTTGACACAATAGCCTTACTCAGCCTAGACACTGGTGATTCTACAATAGATGACAATATGCATTTAAAGAAAATCCTCCTCAACAGGATAACACAAAGCAAAGAGCTTTGGAAGTACAAAAACCCTAGAAGGGGGGAGTCTATTCTTTGTAAATAAATTGGTCAAAAAAGGCATAAGGGAAAGTCTTTGTCAATTGTTTAGACGTATGTGTATCAAAAGGAACCGGAGCTTCGGAAGAAGCATCCGCGGAATCTTCAATTTAAACATACAAACTCTGTGCAGTTTGTGTCCTGACTGGGATCTGATTTGCACTATGCTGCAAGTGCTAACCACTAAGCTACCATGCTGGCCTTAAGAGGAATCAGAGGTTGACTGCAAATGTGGGGAGCGTTTTTTACTTTGCTATTTAGTAAAAACTTGCTGCACACGTGAAACAAACTTCCAAAAGAGTTGTAAAGCGTTTCCATAGGAATAGATAAATACAGGGACCCAGAGCCCACAAAGAAGAACCTGAACGCGAAGCAGGGGTCTGCAAGGATTAACAGAAGGGACAAAAAGAGCCTGACCCACCTCAGTGCCCACTGCACCAGCACTGCTCCCTTTAGCAGGGTCCACCTGGGGACTACACGGGTCTATATTATCCAGCCCGTCACCCAGCTAAGCTGTTGATTAAAGATCAAAAAAAGTTAATAGGAAAAAAAAAAAAAAAAAACCCTATTAGGGATAAAATAGGAACAAAAACCCTGCGTCTGGAGATAGGTCCTTACTCCTTGACGCTAGGCAGAAAATAGAGCTGATTTGGATGGGGGAGGTGTCACCAGCAGGAGCCACCCCAGAGCCGAACTTCCTTTTTGTGCCTAGTGTCCTACTTGCTCCCATTATGTGCTATAGTGTTGCCACATGGTGATAACTAGGCCTAACCATTTAGAAAACATCTGCTGTCTGTTTATATTAGAAGGCTGGCAGACTGGAAAGATTCTGGTTCAGTAAATACTGAATGGTGCAAATACTGAATATTGGTGATGGTGCAAAAAAAATAAGTTATTAAGAACAAGGTTTTAGAGGTACAGTATAGGTACAAGCAGTACTGTAATAAAAGTTTATGTTGGAGTGAAAAAAAAAAAAAAATCTACAAAGAGAATAGTCTCTGGAACAAAATACACATACAAGGTAATCAAACAGTGAAGGCTACCTAGATAAGCAGAATTGGTATGGAGAGCCACAGCAGTGAGAATGATCAAAGAAAAAATTTGATATGGAAAGAGATTTTTGCCTCTGTTGTGAACTTCAAAAGATTAATTTCTCCAAAATACCTAGAGCTACAGAAGTGAATGAGGACCTTAAAATGCATTTACTGCTTGTCCAGAATATATGTAAATACTTTAGTGTGCATAGCCTGGGCAATAAGATACACTTAATTCAAACCAGTTAAAGTAAAGATGAAATACCAGAATGAGTTCTCATGTGTCTCTTCAATTTGTAGGTGTCTCTGCTAGCGTAGCTGCACAAGCTGCATTGAAAAGGACGCTCCCCAGTGTGTGAACGAATGTGTCTTTTCAACTTGCTTACCTGTTTAAGAAATGAAACAAATGTTAACTTGTTGATTCTTACCAATGCATATAATTATTCAAATATGGAAATGTTCGTGCACATACAGATTTAAGATAGGACTGAAAAAAAAAAATATGAAAAAAAACTGGAGCAGACATTACAGATTTGTTTTTGAATGCGTTTCAGGGGTGTAATTTTTACAGTTTCTTTATGACTTTGTAAGTCAGGTGTTAGAAACATATGTAGGCGCCGCAGACCTAATCTCGATGTTCATGAGCTTGTTAATCTTCACCTATAACGATTCTACCTATTGGTGAGAACTTTTCTTCTAACCGTTGTGCCACAGGATTTCCCTGAAACTGTTATTATGCTGACTTCATGTAAAACAAAACAAGTGAATTAGGTTGGTGGGGCTCCTTAGGCCTTGTTCACACCAAATGCAGAGCAGATCCGGTCAGGTTTCTGCATACGCACGCTAGTCTTTTAGACGCGTTTTTTGATGCGTTCCGGGCTCTTTTTGGTAACAAAAAACAAAAAAAATGTTTTACGTTTAAAATGGGCTCTCAATGTGTTCCAGGCATTGGCATGCATTTTTGATACGTTCCAGAGCAGGTAAAATAGGGCCTGCTGCAGTTTTTTCACCTGCTCTGCAACTGCACGCTGTCATGTGAACTGGAGCAAAAAATACCATTGGAATACATTGGACTCAGTTTTTATCCGGTCTGCACCTGCTCTGGATCTGCTCCGCGCTTGGTGTGAACAAGCCCTTAGCCCTGGTTCACACCTAGGCGTATTGCATATGCGCGTCTGTCGCACAGTTTTTTTACCGCGATTCGCGTTAAAAAAATCGCGCGACAAACGCGCGTTTCCGAGGGCTACTTGGCTGTATCCCAATGGAAACGCGCAACAAAAACGTCCCAAAGTAGTACATGTACCTTTTCAGGCGTGGGCTGTTTTGTAGCGCGTTAGGGACAGGCTGAAATAAGCCAAGGTGTGAACCAGACCAATTGAATACAATGGGATTTAGATGTTTGAGCGTTTTGTAGAGCGTTCGCCGAGCGTAGAACGCGCTACAAAACGTTCAGGTGTGAACGAGGGCTTACTCTGTGTGCCTTGTCTCCCCTTCCTCATTGAACTGGGTATCATTATAGCTGCAGACTATACGAGACTTAATTATTTTTGAATATGGATATGGTTTTGAAAGACTAGTTATCTCTCTCAGGGTTCCACCATCAGTTAAATCGAATTTACTGCTTTTTCCCTGGAGGGAGGGAGGGAGAGAGGCAGAGAGGGAGAGAGGGAGAGAGGGAGAGAGAGAGAAGGGGGGCGCAGAGAGAGAGAGAGAGAGA